TTTTAAAACATGTATGTTGGTTTAGCTTAGCAGTTGCCAGAATCAAATGTCTCTCTGCAGTCAAAATATTTAAGCACAATAATATACACAATCCAGGTTCCCTGTATATATTCTATTTTTATATAGCTTATTTTTCTTTATTCTTCTTACTTTTTTGCAAGTTTATTCTCTCTCGTTTAAGACTTTGTATTATTATTTTAAAAATCATGTACATCTTTTTATAACTCTCTATACTCTTTTTTCTTCCATCTCTCAAACCTATGTACACTGTGACCCATTTAGAGGTCTTTTTATCTGAATCTGTCTTAATTGTATATCTGTAATTGTTTTCTGGCCAGATGTTTTTCATTCTTTTTATTTTATTTTATTTTATTTTATTTACTTTTGTGCTGAACAAGTGTGGCTAAAGTCAATAAGGCTGCTTTGTCTTTTGGCTCTGCCCAGTCCAACATGTTGGAGGTTCGTTCATTGCCTCTGAGAGTCATTCTCTTTGCCTCAGGTTGGGTTGCAGCAGGTCTATGCTGTCATTAAGCAAGTTGCAGTACTCTACTCACAAGCCTCATTTAAATGCTCTGTAGCCAGACCTCCTTAAAGAGTCAGAGTTCATACTTGCAGCATGACTCAGGTAGCCACCATTACAAAACTGTGTGGTTTGTTGTTATTGTTGCTGCTATCACTGAATCAGGAAGACCCCTCTTAAAGGAGCTGCAGCATGCGAGCAGAGCACATCCGAAAAAATATGCGATTAAATTTTGTTTTGTAGTGTCTAGGTCTCCTTTCTAAGTCCTCTCAGCTTTTATGTGGATTTAGCTAGCACATGTTGGAGTGCCAATCTGTTGTAGGAGGCTGCTTGTTCATTTCCCAGGCCCAGACTTCTGAAATAACCACATAGAAACTGTATTAATTAAATCACTGCTTGGACAATCACTGTAGCATATTCCTAGCAACTCTTACATATTAAATTAACCCATTTATATTATTTTATATTTTACTATGTCACTCATGGCCTACCAACAAGGTTCCTGCTGGTAGCTTGTGTCTTCTCCTCTGGCAGCTCCATGGCAGCTTCATGGCAGCTTCATGACCTGCCTTCTTTTTTCTATTATTTGGTTTAGTTCTTCATCACAACCCCACGCCTACCTCTATTCTGCCCTGTCAGGCCCAAGACAGGTTCCTTATGAGCCAATAGTATTCACATTATACAGAGGGAAATTCCACATCAGGACTGGTGTGAGGTTTTTTTTTTTTTCCCTGTTGGTTTTTGTTTCTTTTCTGGTATTCTCACTGGAGTGGCCTGGGGATGAGTAGAGTTGGGGGCTGGATGTTAGATGACCCCAATGGCCTCTGGCCTAGCAGAGCATTGCTGCCCAGGTTGAATCTTAGAATTCTGGTGATGTGTGTAGTCTCTGATCTGGCCTTGAGTACTTTGATGTTCAGAATTCTGGTCTAGCTTCTGGTGCGGTAGGAGGCTTCTGCCTGGTTTTAGGGTGCTGAACAGGTTCTAGGTCTTAGGATGCTATTTTGGCCTCTGATGGAGTAGAAGGCTTCCACCAGGGGTGTGGGATAGCATATGAGGACAAAGAGAGGAGGCATGGTTAGTGTTATGCTGGGTAGTGTGGGTAGGGTGGTATTGTAGTCTTACCTTGGGTTCAGGGCTCTGACCAATCCGGTGGTGGAGTATCAGGCTTCAGCCAGAGATGTGGGTTAGACTTTGTGATTTCCAAAATCCCATTCTAAGCCTAGAATCTCTCCGTGCTCTCTGCAAACCTAGATATAGAAATTTCAGAGCCTTCTCTAGTACCATGTCTGCTACGTGCTGCCATGTTTCCTGTCAAAATTGGTAGTGAACTAAATCTCTGAATGTGTAAGCCAGCACCAATTATATGCTTTTCTTTATAAGAGTTGCTTTGGTCATGATAGCTCTTCACAGAAATGAAACACTAAGAAGATCTTTTTGGAAAAAAAGTTTGGTCTCTAGGGTTTTGCCACTGGAAGATACTGTATATCATTAAGAAGAGAGAGGAGGACAACTTGAAGGGCCACTATTAAACAACATTTTCTCTCTCTAGATTTTGGTTCATGATATGAGTAGTTTGCTGCACATGTGTTCCCTGCCATTCCACTTTTCACCCTCATCCTGAACTCCAATGAAAAGGGTTGCTTAATTTAGACTAGGACCACCAGAATTGTGTAAACAAAAGACAAGTAAACCTTTTCTCTTTTAAGCCAATTGTTTCAGGTTTATTATTGCAATAAGACAAAGATGATTAATATAGGCCTTTAGAATAATTGTCAAGTTTCTGGGGAGTCTGAAATAGTGTTTTTATGTTTCATGTTTAATTCATTTTTGTCTATTAAAAGAAAAACGGTTTTCTGAAGGGCAAAGATGGAAAACCCATGTGAGAAGATGGCTCAGCCATTAAACTGCTGGCCATGCTAACAGTGCCACCTCAGTTTGATCCCCATCACCCATGTGAAAACCTCCTATGGTGACTCATCACTATTCCCAGAACTGGGGTTGGAGGAGAGATGGATGGATCACTGGGGCCTGCTGGTCATGCAGACTCTACAAACTTGCACGTTTTAGGTTAAGGAAGAAAGTTGACCCCAGTCCTTCAAACATGCAAATACAAAAACTCCCCCCTTAAAATATTCCCTCACTAAATAAATAAAAATTATGTATATATATATATATATATATATATACATGTTCTGGATTTAATTAAAAATTAAGTGTTGAAAATCTCTGACAACTAAGGGACATTACACTATCTACCTTTGTCATATCTATCATCTTTCTCTGTCTATTAATCTGCTATCTATCATTGATCTACTTATCATTGTGCACATACATATTCATACAAATTCACATATTAGTTTATTCTGCTTATTATTCATGAAATTCAGCCCCATGCCAAACTAGATTTATATCCCATATTAGAGGAGATAAATAGGGTAGTTGTGTTTCAAAAGGGCATTGTTCTCATGGGAATATGGATAGACTTAGGTTAACTGTAGCAGTTATTTGACTGACATATACCAGGTCATGTTGACAAAGACCCATGTCTTTCCTAGATACACTACTACCTATGATTTGAGTAAGTCAGAAAGTGTTTCCATGACAATTGCTGCACAATGGCAGATTGCATACCATCATTGTTTTATGACACATTCCTATTAAAAGTAACATGCTATATCAAATATCTGCAGTCAAGGAATGTTTAAGCCTTCAGTTAGGGTCTAATCATATGCAAATGTTATCCAGACATTACTGAACCTTAAAAACTTTTCCTACTCTTTGTCCACTGTACCGCTATTCTTTTTTTCCCAAACAGATTTTTGTCTTTCAATTAATGTTTATTTTCCCCATCTAAAACACATCTGTATAACTTTTAAAATCAGAATCACCTGCATCTATTTATTGTTTAAATGTTATAGTTTATAGCAAGTTGGTTTTCTTAAAGTATTACAATGAAAACCCATCACTTCTTCCATAATTTTCAGCAGAGTGAGTTAGAACTGCATCTTAACATGGTTGTCATTACTCTAATGCTGCTGAAGACCAAAAAGAGTGAAACCAGAGCTGCTCTTAAGTGTTATTTTCATCCCCTTCTTTTTTTAACCACACCTGATGTTGGTGATTTCAACCTTATGTACTTAAATCCTTATATATGAAGACAAAATAATTGCAAAAAAGTCTTACAAATGGTGCACATATTAGAATAACTGTGCCTTTTAGGTTGTTTTCTCCTTGTGCAGTCAAAAACAGATCACTTTCCCAAGGTGTGGGGACCACAGACCACATATGCGCATGTGGAGAACTCAGTTCTCCATTTCAGTTAGAGTCACTAATCTGGTCTCTTTCCACTCTCTCTGTCTACTGGAGTTTTAAACTTGTTTTTAAAATCCCAGATTTAAATTTTCTATTTTTTATTTCCTTAATTATCTCTTTCTTCTCCTATCTTATATTTTTAAAAAGTCTCAATTTGTCCAAAAAATGTTTAATTGAAACTTTTGAGAAAGCATACTTGTTACTGAAAAAAATTAATCAGCAAAATCAGTGAACTAATTTTAATGATGATTACTATTTTAATGGGTGAATATTTTTAGCTCCATCTGGAATGCGAAAACGCTCTCTGACTTGGTGAGATTTAAAGTGAGCACAAACTGCGTTGTGCCACATCTAACAAGCACAGCACATTATCTTAATTCCAGTTAGAAATATATTTATAGAAGAGATTAAATGCTGCAGTGCAGGTAATGAATAAATGATGCAGGAGAGGAAATTCTGATAAGTGGGTAACGAGAGGATCCCTGAATGGCTGCAGCCCGTTAACTGTCCTGCGGAGAATTGCAGTGATTCCATTCTGTCCCGTTTTTCTTATTTTATGAGGAAAAAATATATCTATCCATTTAGGTTAAAGCTGTAAACTACCGTATTATACCTGGCGGGGTGTGTTTATGACTCTCATTAATCAGACTTGAGTGCTGTGTGTCCACTCTTTAGTCAGAGCAGAGAATGGAATTTTCCATAGAACATCATGTTATGAATAGCTCTGACTCATGCCATGTTCCCATAAATAAGGCCTCTATGAAACGTGTATTGTAGAAGGCTCTGCATGGAATATCCCTGCTGATAGTTTTTGACCTCGGTATCTGTTATGTGAACTACATTTTCTGTCATTTGTTTTCACAGTTGAAGCATTAGATGAAACCATAATATTTATGACTACACATTTGTTCACTGTCAGTGTAATATATTGCACGACTGCGCTCTGCTATGTTGGTGAGGAACAGGGAGAACACAGAAGGGAGGGGGTAAAGTTTTATGCAGACTGACTGCACAAAGAGAAACGTGAAGCTCACATGTTTCTTCGATAAGAGCCTTATGAGTTAAATTAAGTTTCTTGAAATATTTTTAAAATAAACTGCTGGTATGTTTTCGGCCTCGTGGAATCCGAAATGAAGACAGTAAGAATAAAGAATAATCAACAGCATCGGGTCACCATGCTTTATCTGGACACGAGAGGTGATGCACTGACAACTGCTCCTTGGTGTCCTCCATGGCCAAGGACAATGACCTTCAAGAAGAAAGCAAAACTGTGCAACATAGTTCTTTTTTTCTCTTCAAAACATTTGGGGTAAATGAACAATTGGGACTTTTGACTTCAGTGGCAACCACTTAAAGCAAAGTATTTCATCATTGGCTACAATCATTCATCACCCAGCAAAGAGACATATCAACTGTTGACCGAGGAACTCCGAGTCAGGAAATAGTCACTAGAGCAGTCCATGTGGACCCCAATGTCCTCTCCTGTGGCAAGAAAATCAAATAAATAAATAAATAAATAAATAAATAAATAAATAAAAAAGTTAGCTTGCTTTCTCTGAGGGACATTTTTGTTAGCAGTGCTGCCTACTGAAAGCATTTTTCTAACCTTCTATAACGAATGAAACAGTCACCTTATTAGATAACGTTCGGTTCCATTTTCAGGGATATGATTTTAGGTCTTGTAAAGCATCTCTCTATCTGGAGAAAACGTCATATGGTGGCTGCTCTGAAAGAGTTTCTTTTTCACATCTGTGACCAATACCACCATACTAACCTCTTTAGGTGTCATTTACACAGCATACCTACCTCCTCCTCAATTGAATAATGAAAATTTCTTTTATAATATACACTAGAGAGAGAAATTGTATTCCTTCTATAGACTTAACTAGTAGCAATGAATAAAGTCTTGGTTTGAAGTTTAGATTTCAGCACTCCAAAGTGGATAGAAAACAGGAATGCTAAGGCTTCTTGCCTACTGTAGAAAGACATGCTTTCTCGACGTAACATGAAGAAATTAATATAAGATACAAAGGATTCTATGGCCACTCTTGAAGCTCTGCTGCATTGTGTTTTTCTGGTGGTGCTTTTATATGCAAGATGTGAGGAACAAAGGACCATAAATATTTATATAATGAAATATCCTCCCACCTTCCAAAGCCTATTGTGAAGAGGCAGATAAGTCAGCTGTTCACCTGCCGCCCTAGACTTTGATAACAAGCCACAATTGTTTTATTTAATTTCTTTCATTCAGGTTCCTATTTTCTCTGAAGATTTTCATTTCAGGAGTTTATAATTTCCCAAATCCCACTTGTAACTCTAAAGATCACCCCCAAGGACTTTGGCTCTGGTCTCTGACACTGCTCATATAATCAGCTCATCAGAATTGAGCCTTTCTCCTTCCTAATTTTACATCTGATTCACAGTGCATAATCATATCGAAGTTCTCATTATTCAAATTTCTAGGCCTTTTACCTGACTCATTGTGTGTGTGCATGTGTGTATGAGTGTGAATAGGATTCTACATGTGTGTATGCATATATGAGTGTGAATATGATTCTGTGTGTGTACATGTCCCTATGTTTGTGTATCAATGTGTACAACATACATGTATAGGTGTATTCACTGTGGACAGAGATTGACATCAGGACATTTTCTTTAACCATTCTTCACCTTATTTTCTGAGGCAGAGTATCTTTCTCTTAATGTTATAGGTTATTTTATGTGTAGAAATGTTTTATATGCATATATGTATGTACATGTACTACATATGCACCTGTTGCTCAAGAAGGTCAGAAAAGTTAGCAGGCCTCCTTGACCTGGAGTTACAGATGACTATGAGCCACCACGTGAATGCTGGGAACTGAATCCTACTTCTGGGCAGGAAAAGCAACTGCTTAATAAGCCTTATCTCCTGCTGCAGGGTCTCTCAGCAATCCTGAGACTTCCAAGTTCAGCTAGACAAGCAGATTAGCAAGTTTCCTGTCTTCATCTTTTCATAGTTGAATTTTGTACACAACTTTTTATACTAAATCTAGAGGATTGATCTGAACTCCTCATATTTGTTTGGCAAGCACGTTGCCTATTGAACCATCTCCTCAGCCTCACCTTCCTTTTTCTACAACCCTCACATGTTAATTTGTTAATTCTTTAACATTAATAGACAAGTATCAGTCCTAAAGAAAGAAAGGGGATCCCTGACACTTGAAAGTTTTGAACCTCCCTGTGTGGGTACATGGAAATGAACTCACGCCTCTGGGAGAACAGTATACCTCCTTAACTACTGAACCACTTCTCTAATCCCTGAATTAGACATTTTTTGTAATCCAAATATAAATGAGAATACAGGTGACTGTAAGGCTCAGACCTTCCCTTGCTCCCTGGGATGCAAATCAAGGACTGTTTTGGCAACCAGCTAAAGCTTCCTGCTAAGTTCTGTGCTTGTTCTGCTCTAGCCTGGTATAATAGCCTAGGGCCTTATATTAGTTTAAAATGGTAATTTCTCGTCCTGCCCGGAAGAGCCTAGGTGACAAGATCCCTCCAACCTGTCTGACACTGCCCTGCACCCCTCACCCACCTGCCTGAGGAGAACTCACTCGGCGCCATCCCCCTCTAGCTGGGAGGGGGTTCTCCTCTTCTGGGATCAAAGTATTTAACCCTGGATTAAGTTGAATAAATGGGCATTCTCCTCTGAGAATGACTCGAACTCTCTATCTGTGCTGTGCATCTTATATTTAACCCCTAGGACTTTATCTAGCTCGTGTAAGGTATGGAGTCGTGGTCCATACCAGGTGGGTGGTGATGCAGACTCGGGTGTGGAATGTTTGCCACAGGTGACCTTGTAATTTTGTGATACAGATTCAGACAAATCTTGATGTAGTTACTTTTCTATCCTTGTGATAAAGAATCATGACCATAAGCAGCTTGGAGAGATAGGAATTTAATTCTTTTTCATTTTGCAGTTTGTAGTCCATTACCTAGGGAAGCCAGAGTAGGAGCTCAGGACAAAAACCTAGAAACTGAATTATAATCCATGAAGGAATGCTACTTAAGAGCATTTCCCCATGATTTTCTCAAGTGCTTGTTTAAATCATCCAAGATTACCATGGAGGCACCAGCCTTTATTGCATGGGCCCACCCACATTAACCATCATCAATAAAGAAAAAATACCACAGGCTTGCCCACATGGCAATATGGTGCAAGCATTTTTTTTCAGTTGAGGATCTTTTCCCAAACAACTATTGCCTATATCACCTTGACATAAAAAAACAAGTCAATCCAAGTCATATCTACATAACTTGCTAAGTAATCTGTCACAAAACCTTTAGGAAATTGGTGTTTCTTAGCTATTCTTAGCTATTATAAGCAAAAACACAAAAAAGAAGTAAATGATGCAAAATCGGTTGATGCATAGGACAAAAAGAACTCTTTTGGGTCCTTTACAATCAGGTCAACCAAAAATGCTTAACTAACACCGATAGATTCTCTTCACCTCATTAACTGTTTCCTCAAAGATACTAGGGTCTTCAGCAAGGCACTGGAAAGTTGCCCCTCTACTCTGCCAATATCTGCCTATGCTTTAGAATGTCTAATTTCTCCATCCATGCCCTTTGGCTTTTACATAGCTCCCTTAATCCATTTTTGACTACAGAGAACAAATGGGTGTTTGCTTTATCATTATACACTATAAATGGCCCTGCCCACTAAGACACCAATCGAAAGCTATTCAAAATGTTGGGTTAGTCTCTCTTTTCTACACATACATTCTCATTATATCACCTGCTTCCTGTGGCAGCTGGAGGTGGTCATGCAGCTAAAATCACATGACTCCTGTCACTTGGCTACAGCGTTATGAAGTCTGGCATTTCGTCACAGGTTTCCAGAATCTACCATAACTTTCTGTTCCTTTACTGATTTCACTGTCAATATATAGATGGAATTAAACAAATCCATCAGGAATGGAAAGGTGTCCATGGATTCCCTACATGAGAGGAAGATCCTTGATAACCAGGATGGTGTGTGGACCTATGATGAGAAAAGAAATTTCTACTGCATTACACCACTGAAATATTGCTGCCAATTTGTTATAGCTTCAAGCATAATCCATAAACTAGCCAGGAGTTGACTTCACAAGCAGGAAGTACTTTCTTTTCAGCCCGGTGCTCTAGTTTCCTTTCTGTTGCAGTGATAAACAGGTTGTCCAAAGGCAGCTTGGGAGGAAGGGATTTGCTTGGCTTACAGTATACTGTCCATCATGAAGAGAAACCAAAGCAGGAAGTCAAGGCAGACACTGAACTACAAAACAAGGGGGAGACATTGTTTATTGACTTGCTTCTCTTTGTTATTCAGCACCTTTCTGACACAATCCAGGCCCACTTTCCTATCACAATACTGTTCATAGTGGCCTAATTCCTCCAACATCAATTAGTAATCAAGGAAACACCCCCAAGCGTGTCACAGGTCAATCTGATAGAGGCGATTTCTCTTCTGAGTTTCTGTCTACCCCAGTATACTTAGGCCTGCATCAAGGCAACAAAACCAACCAGTACAGCCTGCTTTGAGGACTCAGAATTTGTGTGACTGAGATGTGCATGGTCTAATGGAAGTACAGTAATGTATCAGTGCTACCAGCCCTGTGTAGGAGAAGGCCATGTAAAGCAGTTTTTAAAAATATGGAGGCATGTATTGGGAAGAGGGGCAGGAGTGACAAGTGGTGATCACTTAGGAGGGAAGAATCAAAATACAGTATTTTTGCCACAACAATTATCACCAAGTATGCTACTCAGACTTAAAGGTATGTACAAAGAGACAAATCTCTACTCTTTAGAAACAGTGGGAGCAAAAGCAAGTGACAAAGAGGAGAGTATGTGTAGATAGGTAGATGACTTGGACAGAAACTTACATGTTCTATAGAGCAGCCATGCTTAAGAAGCATCTACAAACACAGTGCAATTTATGTTTATCCTTTAGAGGCCAACATTCTGCCTTGCATTTGTCACAATAGGAGCTATGGGGAGGCGTATCAGGATTTACTGCTGTGCGACTTTTGGGATCCCATGAAAGCTGGCAGTTTTCTAACATTTAATCCCTGTGCCTTGAAGCAGTATAGTGGAGGGGGCATACCTCGCTACAAAGTAAGTCTTGAAAAAAAATTTTTTGTTAACAGAACTGAGATAAGAGGAAAGAATGACAGAGGGACTATACAAAGGTATGAAGATTGGTAGCCAGGTTTCTAACATAGAGATCTCAGGGATATTTCACAAAGTCTGTCCACTGAAGGAGCCTTCCAGTTTCCTAAGTTCAAATGAAGACCTGGCTCAAATGTAAATTGAATCTATGGAGGAAAATTGCATCAGAATAGTGCAAATAAAAAAAATCCAGACTGCATGATTCATTTGGAAGAGCATCTCAGAAAGTGAGCCCTATTTTATAAATTCACATTTTTTATTTTTGTCCAGGATTCTGATGGTTCCACTGGAGATAAATGATTCCTCCTCAGAGGGGAAATAAGAAGCAGTTTAATCTTGGCCTTCAATTGCCTGAAACTATTCCACCTCTGTGAACTCATTTCATATTTTAAGCTACTAAAAAAGGACTAAAGAATTTGGCAAATTCTCATGTGACTACATAGTGCTAATAAAACAACTTATCTTTCAGAAATTTTCCACTATTCTAAAATAACATTCAGAATCATCTACCAGAAAATAGATGGGCCCAATTTTGATTTTGCTGAAAAGCATACATACATATTTATTTGATTTTTTAAAAATACTATTGTTTGAAGTCTTTTCTTTCCCCAGGCATTATTCTATGCACTGGGAATAATTTTCTGAACACTGAGATTGATAGAGTTCCATAGACTGTTAAAGAGGTGCTCAAAGTTAACTATGATCGAAATATCATACTACAAAGCCCAGGATAGAAGATACCCATGATTCTATATCAAAGAATCCTGACCAAGGCTCATAACCAGTCAAGACCTTCAATTCAAGCAATACTCAGTCTGTGTAAGAGATACTAGAAAAATAAACTTGGGGGAGTGTTTCTCAGTCAAATGTAAGCCCCTAGAGTTTTCACTATGGAGGCACTGCTATTTTCTGGTTTTATTTGAAGCCCATAATTTATAGTTCTGAATTTATGTTCCCAAGTGTTAGCTTGGAAGTTTCAACTCCACCCTAGGAGTATCCCAGGAGGATGAAGTCTTCCTGAAGCACAGTGATGAACTTATATCTCCAGGCTCAGGCATTGGAGAGCAGGAAGGATCTGGAAATTTTGTTTACCGTTCTTGGGAATGTAAATGGTATGAACAATGTGAAAAGTAGTGAAAAAGTTCATAAAATAGTTTTTAAGTTGGGATACCAGAAGATTAGGCTATTGATGCAAATGAAAGAAGGAAATTGGAGACATCTTTTCTAATTGTCTTCGACAAAGGGAAGATTTAGAATGTGAAGTTAAAAAGAAAAGAACTTTCACTTGTCTGTCTCTTTAGAGCCATGGAGAACACTAACAGAGTGACTGCAAACCCTTTTTCATAGGTAAGAGAATACATGCTAGATGAGCCAAGTAAATCTTCGTAAAGTGAGAAGTCATTAGGCAATCTTTCCTGAGCCATCCTTGAGTCTTCTACATTATGATATGAATACAGAAGGTCTTTGATCAGTGGTGTTAAAATACAACAGAGTATGTAGTGTGCCTAAAATGCACAGAATCACCCATTTCTTCAGAGGGGAGTTGCAAGATTGAGGGTCAAATGGAGTCTGACCTGGCCTTCAAGGTGAAAGACCGGCAAAATATCAAAGAAGGGACTAATAGAGATCAAGTAACCTTTCAAGTAAAAAAAAAACTCCATTATAAAACAATACAAACAAAAAAGTTGGAACCAAAAATTACAAAGGAATCCAACAAGAAAGACATTTTCATGAATGTACAGGGAGCCATGAACGAGTAGGAGAAACTGTGATCCCTATCCATTGCCTTCACTAGAGATTCCACAAGAACTAGGGGTACTTGATTTGATTAACAGTACTATATTTTCGATAGAAATTTTAGAATTTATCATAACCAATCCATATTTAGTCTTGAGAGGATATTGATTAAATTTCTATTATTATAAAAAAATGGGTAAGAAAATCTGTTTCAAAGGAAGAAAAGCTTATTTTAGTTCACAGTTTCCTAGGTCTTGTTCCATGATCTTGTAGTTTTATCGTCTTTGGCATGAAGATTGGTTGTATATTATCCTGCAATATATGGTGGAGGAAACAGTTGAACACCATTAATGGGTCGATTTAGCCATGAACTCAAAGTCATCATGAGACATTATGACTCTTTGTTTATTAACACTGCTTCATTGAGAACCAAGCCTTCAACACATAAACACTTCGGAAACATTTACAAACCAAACCATAATATTTCCCAGACTCTATTCTCTTACCATATCACATATCTCTCTCTAGTACCAACAGTTGAGGACATTTAAGTTCTGGGAAAATCCTTCAATTCCAAATCATAAAAGGGAAAGAGTTTGAATCACCCTTAAATTAATGAACAAACATAAATATATTTAACTAATGTTAATAACCTAAAAAATATAAAAACTGACAGACAAAAAGGAGGCATCGATGGTGATTAATATCAGAAAGTTTACATGCCATACTCACAGTAAATGTGTTGGGACTAAGAATTCATGCTGGCACAGCCATCTTTACATGATTCTGTGAATTCCAACCTTCTTAACTCTGTGTGACAAGTACTTCACCCACTGAGCCATCTCACTATTGCTTCCTATTATGTTACATTTTTATTTGACCCTCTTAGCCTTTCCTTAAATAAACACTTTTACATTCTTATGTACTCTTCCAGAGTAGATTCTGCATTGTGTCATCACAACTTAGAAAGTTCCTTTCAAATATGTCAACAATATAAACCTGTGATACAGTCTTCCTAGAAACAAGCTAGATTCCCTACCTTCACTAAATGCCAGCAATCAGAAGTGAATCAGATGCCTCTGTATTTGCTTGTGTATTGTGAGTAAGCAACTATGCAGAGCAGTGTCACAGTACCATAGTGTTGGCTGATAGGGAAGTTCAGCCAATCACATTCTGTCCATGGGGTGTGTTGCCTTAAGACAAAAATTTACCTATAAACCTGGCGGGTGCTTCCCCACTCACTCTCTCATGGCCTCTGTGTTCCGGACGGACTGTTGGGACTCTGGTGTAAGTTTTCCCTTTTTTTATTAAAAGCTAAATATTTTATATAGTATTGGTCTGTTTATTCTATCTATCGACCACGCCTGCTACAGTTGGTGACAGATCCATGAGTTTGCATAGGTCAGAACATTCACTTATTCAATCTCAAAGAAAGATCAGCACAAGCTAAGAACACAGTATCTGAGGTTATTGCTGTCCATCTCTTATCAAGGCTTTCTTTTCTTGTTCTCATCTTGATTTTCTCATACTCAATTTCCATCATGTCTGCCTTTCACAATCCTGAGTTCCCAAGGACTTGACAAGAAAATGAAGAATACATTCAGTCTATTTATGAGATTTCTTGTACTTTCTTCTGTTATCCTGTGTAAGGTGAAAACCCATGAAATGAGAACAGAAGATAGACAAGGATACCCATGAGATGCAAATGACAGTATCATTCAATGTGGATGACTGCTAATACACTGTTATGAAACCCATAACAGATTCATGCCACATATAAGCTACCTTAAAAATATGCTGTTGGCTATGGTGCTAGGATTGAAACTGTCCTGAAATTCCTTTCTGAAAAAGCAGTTCAGATTTAATAATAGTATATGCTTTAGTCTATTTCTAGATGCCTTAAATATCCATTAAGAAGCATTGCTGAAGCAATTAGAAACCCTGGGAGAAAGTCCTCAGGCATTCAATCAAGACTTAACATAGCTGGATTCTAAAAATAAATACAAAGAATAAGAAGAATCTCTTCTGCATAAAGGTAGGAAAATCCAAAGTATACAAAGAGTGGGAAAGTTGAGAAAGGCAATAGATAGTGTTGGGGAGAAATGCATTGGGGTCTTCAAGATCTCAGCTGCCCAGAGATGAGCTATGTTTTTCAAAATTCAAGAATCTTGCCAGTGATGATGGTGGACCACAGTAAAAAGAGAGGCATTATAAAGTGAACTTTACTTGACATTTATTTGCTTGAGTTGATGTGAGGTACTACAGACGATCCTGCAACCCCTTTGGATATCTTTTTATTCTTGGACCAGGTAAGTGTGAGTGTGAGAATGGCTTGAGGCCAAAACATGGAACTGTAGTAAGCTTTCTTGTCAGACTATTTTTGAACAACTATACCACAAATAGGAACTCTGAGACTTTTAATTAATTATGAAAGCTTGGTCTTATCTTAGGCCTTTTGCCAACTAGCTCTTATAAGTTAATTAACCTATATCTTTAATCTACTTTCTACCACAAGTCTCGGTTACCTATTCATAGTACAACACATCCAACTTGCTCCAAGTCTGCTTGAGAAATTGCATGCCTAGATTCTTCCTCCCAATTTCTCTCTTTCTCCCTGCTCAGAGGTCCTACCTATTCTCTCTGCCTAGCAACTGGTCACTCAGCTCTTTATTAAAACAATCACAGTGACATATTTTCTTCAAGTAGCATAAGCAAATATGCCACAATATATTCCGCTTTTGTCTAATTAAAAAGGAAACATTTTATCTCTAAAGTATATAGTAAAACTATATACAATAAGGACAATTATCAGGTAAGAATTGCATTTACAATATATAGTCCTATTATATTTAACAAATTAGGAGAATATGCTGTACAATCTATTATCTTAGTTTTCTACCTAAACTACTTTCTATCATAACTTGTATTACCATCCTAAAAATATCTTTTTATACATTTAAACATCTTCTTACATAAACAACTTAAGCTTTTTGCATTTTTGAACTTTATAAACTTTTATCTTTTATGTATTTTTTTAGTTTAGTAGCAAGGAAAACTATATACCACTGTATTCTTGAATCCCCATTTGAGATCCAAGAATATTGCTTGAGTAAACAGGAAGTTCAGAGCAAGCAAATTCCAAAACTGTAGAAATGACAGACATATAGCTTCCTGGACAACCACCTAAATTTTCTTTGTGTCATTGGGGCATCCCTCATTGAACTACAGGCCTAAAATATCTGATAGACATTTTTGTGAAGCAGTAATTTTGAAGGACTTTCCTACCTTGCCTTAGAAGTGTTGTGGGAGTAACTTCCGCTGCCTCAACCAATAGTCGCTGAAATACGAGCCCACAGTGCAGCGGGGAGCGACTTCCGCTCCGTCAGCCAATAGCTGCTGAAATACCAGCCCACTGGGGCGTGGTATATTTCTCTTTTAAAAAGAGAAGCAGATCCGGATCAGGCCCTCTTGGTTCCGGCTCTTGGTTCCGGTGCTTGCTCCTGGCTCCTGCTCCCGGCTCCTGCAACTAGGCTCCCTTCCTGACGGTTTATGGTGTATGTAAGTTTTACCCCCCAAAATAAATAACCCCTTAAAACATAACTGGTGTGGGATTGATTCGCCGATATAGAAGAGTTCAACAGTCACCGTCTTTTGTGTCACATCCCACCAAGATGTGTTCTTCTGGACCTGTGGAGAACTTTGGCTCACCTGAAACATAAAGGCTTCTTGAAAAGAATCTTTCATTATATTATGTGGGCCAAAGAGCTGGGTATTTAGGATGAAAAAGGAAATCATACACATGTGTGTAGGCCCACCCACTGGAGCACGACCAGCCAATCACAGATCACACCTCTTTAGAAACTGTCTTTTATTCCCCCCAAAAGCCCTTGGCTGTTTATACTTTTAAAATAATTTATTATTTACTTTACCAGCACATGCATTTAATCTGAGCACTCAAAAGGCAGAGGTATGTGGTTCTCTGAGTTGGAGGTCAGCCTGGTCTACAGAGAAGGTACCAGGATAGTCAGTGCTATGCAGAGAAACACTGTCTCAAAAAGTCCAAAATAAATAAATAAATAGGTATAAAAGGAAGGAATGAAAGAAGAAAGGAAAAACTTACAAGTTCTTGTTGCTCTTGCACAGGACCTAAATTCAGTTCCCAGTACCCACATCAGGGAGTTTATAACCCTCTTGTAACTCAAGCTCCAGTGAATTTGGAGGTCCTGGTGTGTTTCTCTGTCAAGATCTGCACATAGGGCATTCAGGCACACACACACACACACACACACACACACACACACACACACAGAGGGAGGGAGAGAGAGAGAGAGAGAGAGAGAGAGAGAGAGAGAGAGACTTGCATAATATTTTTAAAGGAAATAAGAAACATTTTCATATTTCCTACTAGTGTCTATTAGCTTGTACCTCTGGATGACAAAGCATATTTAGAGCTAAGCAATTGGTCCAATTTTATGTAAAAAGGAGATTAATAGTTAGGTTGTTTGGTATCTTTTAATCATACTGAAGAACTTGAGATGTGAATGATGAACAAAGGATGCTAAACTTGTAGGAAATTTTCTATAAAGGGCACTTATAATTTTGCTTGAAAAGGCATTCTTAGCTCATGACCATAGGGTAAAGACTTATGAAAATGAAACTTCAGTTTTGGCTGGATCCATTATAGCCTATACAGAATTCTCAAGCTTAATGGGTCTTTTTAATCAAAATTAGTACAAGGACTATGAACTAGTGAGATCCAGGAATTTTGGATGGGTATATATGAGCAAATTCTGGTGAAGATCTGAACATAGAGTCCTTATTTCTGTCGGGCTTCTTTGTCTTCCAGTGGAGACAGAGCTTGCTTTGCCACAGTACTTCAGCACCACATTCTAATATGTACCTCTCACCAGTGATACTGGAATCGAATTCTGTCAGCCCTGAAAGTATACTAAAATTATGCTATTTCCATCTAAATCCACAATTAGACTCAATTCTAATACATGTGATAGACTGAAATCCATGCCCAAACAGTGACATGATTGGCTAATTATCATCAGCAAAAACAGGGACAACAATGGAAATACATCTTTAAGGCATTGGATTGAGACTGAAATAAACAAAAGTTGGGCCATGTTGAAAAGTATGGATAGGGTTTCCTAACCCAGTGTTTTAGCTATAGGGTTGGGAATGGCTTAAATCACTTGTTTGGCTGATTGAACTGAGTCAAAGATCCAGAGGCAACTTACCCAAACTAGAGTTGAAATATATAATATTCCTGTTGTATAAGAAAGACTCTCAAAAGCAAACACTGACTCATGAAAACAGAACTACATATGTAGTTGAATATGTCCCCATTCAATTCTTCATACCTGATCACAACCCATGAAGTTATAAACCATCATAACTGTTATCTTACCCCTCAAAGTACTTTTGATGTTCTTTACATGTACTTACTTATTTTATATAGTATTTTAATTTATTCTTTGAGAATTTTATACAAGTGGAATCATTTTTATCCCATCCTCCCTCAGATTCCTGAATCATTCACACACACATATCCTTTTAATTTCATGACCTTTTTACGTTTGTGTTTCCATATGCACATGTGTATGGAAATATCTATCAGAGTATAGTCAACCTACCACAGAACACACCTCTATAGAAACTGCCTTTTACCTCCCTGACAGTCCTTTGCCTATTTATACTTTTTTTCATTTTTTTAAAATTATTTTTTCTATTTTTTTGCTTTCTATGAATTTTTATATGAAATTATAAATTCAGAATACAAACCAGATTGGCCCTACTCCTAATTGTCTTAGCTAAGACAGCTGAAGCCCATTTAAGTTTATGCATTTCTTTCTATTGTTAAAAATAACAAATGTATGTGCTTAGCTATCCTTTCAAATAGATGAGCCACCAAGATGATAGGAGATCAATAGTAAATGCATTCAGCTGTAAACAATGCATTTAACAGCATCTGAGGATAAATATTAATGAAAAATAGCTCTTTTCACAAGCTTGACA